CGGGTCCGGGCTGGGGATTTGAACCCGCCACCTTAGGTGTACGTGGCTGGCGCCTTAGCCGGTTGAGCTATAGGCGCCGAGCCTATAGTCTGGTTCTTTATTGCAAAATATTTCATTTGGGATCAAAGAAAAACCTCATATGTGATGTCTGAGTCTACGCCTAGGAGAACAGTAGAACTTACTATTTAATACATTATAATTAATGTATTAAAAAGGTGTTGGGGGAAGAATAAAAAATATATAGGGCAAAATGCATGATGCCAGAAGATACTAAGCAAGGGACTTGATTATAAAGGACCTCTAAAAAATTTGCAGCATAGCAAAAACTAATGTTCTGCAAAGCATCTCTGGAATAAAAATCTGTTTAAAAGGAAATTTGGATATTTTCAATAGCTCCTACTGAGATTATATAAAGAAAAGAACAGCCATTTTCTTTAAATATGAATGCAAGACAAGTGATTTTGATAAAAAGCACAAACTATATTTTTAGAGCTTGAAGAAGGTCACTTGCAAAACTGCCATTAATACTCAAAATAGTTCACTGTAATACTGATAGCAAGAATTCCAAGATGCATTCCTCTCTCTAAAAAACCGACATATAAGAGCAGCATTAGGACCAAGTAGTTTATATTAAATACATATATTTAGACAATATTATTTAATCAATTTTGAGTACCAAAATATACCTCAACATTTAAAGACAATATGCCCCAAGGCAAACTGTAATTTATATTTTATTCCTTAAAAATTTCAATAATATATCTACATTGTTATATACATTACATCAGATATTCTTCCAGTGCCTTGCTACCATATCAGAATTCACTCTTACCCTATAAATTCCAATAGCACATTTTTTCCACCTCTTATCCTGTTCTGTAATTGTATCATTCATGTGTCTTTCTCTCCTACTAGATTGTAAATAGTTGCAGGACTGGGCCTTAGTCATTTTTAAATGTTCCAGAGCGGCTAGTAGGTGCTCAAAAAATATTTTCTGAATTTAAAAAATGTATTTCATGATTATCTTATCCAAGATGCTTCTTTGTTTTACTTATTATTATGAAAGCCTCCACTCCACTTAATTTGGGACAAGATAGGCTTAGAGATGGGCCCCTACCATGTATCAGGTTCAACTCTAAGCTTTTCACATGTTTCATCTTGTTTAATCATTAACAACCTTGTGAAAGAAGTGTTTTAATACCCAAGGTTTTTTTTTTTTTTTTAATAGACAAGAGAAATAAGGTTCAGAAGCTTGACTAAAGTCCAGGCAGCTGGTAAGCTGCAGAGCTACGGTTCAATTCAAGCCCAGGTTCTACCTGGCTTGAAAGCCTATGATCTCTCTATTGATAATACACTGTCTCCATTGATAACAGAAAAGAAGCCTTTAAAAGACTTCATGTTCCTTGTAAAGAAGCTAAATGAAAGAAATAAGAAAAAAAATTCTCAAAGTCAGCTATTATTTGATTTTAAAATTCTTCCTAAATTGGTTTGCTGTGATTTGGGGAATTAAAAAAAAAAGTGTATTATACCATCCACCTCTTCAACTAACACACCAACTGCAAATGTGTATATGTTGATAATGATACAGCATGTATGTACCTGATGAATCTTCTAGCTAGTTTCATGCACTAGTGGAGTAGAGAAAACCTAATGCAGCCAGAAATATATCAGATAATTTTTAGCAATACTTTTAGCTCAAGGACAGATTTTTTTTTTTTTTTGAGATGGAGCCTCAAGCTATCCCCCTGGGTAGAGTGCCATGGCATCACGCTCACAGCAACCTCCAACTCCTGGGCTCAAGCGAGTCTCCTGCCTCAGCCTCCCAAGTAGCTGGGACTACAGGCGCCCGCCACAACGCCCGGCCATTTTTTTGGTTGCATCCATCATTGTTGTTTGGCGGGCCTGGGCTGGGGATTCGAACCCACCACCTTAGGTGTATGTGGCTGGCACCTTAGCTGCTTGAGCCACAGGCGCCGAGCCTCAAGGACAGATTTTGAGATAAGAATATAACCTAGTCCTTCCCCATCTAGAGCACACAGGAGTACTCTCTCTCTGGTAACAAACTACAG